TAGGTTAATGTAAGATAACGTTTTTTGGATTGAATTTTAATGTTTAATTGTTAGATAATATTGATATTAAATTATTTATGAGTGAGGGTAACTGTTTTAAATAAACAAACCAATGTTTTTCTTATAAGTGGCGGACCTTAGTGGTGCCCCAAGAGTCCCGGGTCACTGCTCCGACGCCACCACATAGTGTAAAAAAAAATAATGTTTTTTAATGTTTTTTCTATTGGGTTAATATTTTTTTAATGTTTTTTTATATTGGGTGCACCGGCTTAAAATACAAGTGATACTACTAATATAGATTTATTTAAAATAAATAAATAAATAAATAGTGTCACTCCTAAAAAATGTTCTAAGTCCGCCATTGTTTCTTATATACTTTAATTCATAGGGTTTCATTCAAAAATGAATAAACATAATATAAATATATTAACAAATGATAACAATATTCATAATCGAATAACAATTATATTCATGAATGATTAATAAATGATCGAAACACTCCAAAAAAAATGATTCTCATACAAGATTATATATTTATTATATAATAATTATATTTGATTAAAAACTTCTAAGGAAAAAAATTGCAAAAAAAAAAAATTAAGAAAATAGGGATTTAGATGTCCATCTAACCCGTGAAAATCCATCATCGTTGTTGCATGTCTTGCCTTTCTTTCTTCTCTTCAAGAAATAAGAAAAAATAACAAATTAATATCCAAAAAGTAGTTCTATTCAAATACAAATGAGAAAACCACAAACCCGATTTGTTATTCATCGATAATGAATAGATGACTCATTGGGTGTTATTCAAAATTCATTTTCAATATGTAATCACTTACTATTACAAAACAAATTCACATAATTACTAGGCATTTTTTCAAATTCTTGATATAATCATTTATGATTATAACTAAATTACATAAATATTAAAAATATTACATCAAACATTATTTCAAATTCATACTTTAATCATTTATGATTATAACTAAAATATGAAAATCAATTCCAAAAACACAAAATAAAGTTGCAAACCTAATTATTAAATGGTAGAATACAATTACTTATGTGTTTACTACTTCCTTAGATAACCAGACTATGCAATAGATGTACAACATTAAATTGATACTTAAGTAACCATAGGAAAGAAATACAAAATAAACTACAAGATAATCTCATAAAATTCAACAGATTATGCACAGTTTACTCAAAATAAATAAACATAAAGGCCAGTGAGGAATCCAAAACTCAAACTTATGTGTATCAACTTAACTAGGGTAACAAATACGTTATACATGGGTTTAAAATTTTGGTTATTGCCTTCTCCGATCGGATTGTTTGGCATTACAACTACAATCACTATTTCATAATACAAAATAAACTTTTGACGACATTTTTAATAATAATTACAAACTTAGTTATCAAAAGTGTAGATTAATTTGTTATATAACCCTAATAATTATCAACAAACAATCAAAAATCAGATTATTCCAAATTTCTAATACATACATGAAATTAACTCAATTAGTAATTACCATTTAAATTAATTAAAAGACAACGTCAACATATAATTTATGTAAGCAAATATCTATAACTTAATGATTAATAATAATCCTTTTGTCAAATACATAATAGATTAGGTCATAGACCACTACATTTCAGTTTGAGTGTGGCATTTTTGCTTTTACATTGACATTTATTTTCTACTACGCACTTGTTTTGAGTTCCAATACATTTTAATATCCATTTTTCTAATTCTCTTAGGGACTTATACTTTGAGAGATGGAGAAGTTAATTTGAGATCTTAGGGGGTGTTTGGCTTATCTTTTGAAAAGTCAAAAGTTTTTTTTAGGAAAAGATAAAATGTAAAAACATTTTAAAAACTACTTTTAGATTTTGGATATAAGAAAAGCTGAAAAGTCAGAAACCTAACTTTTTGTAACTTTATCAAAAAAGACTTTTGTCTTTCAAAAAGATAAGTAAAACATCCCCTTAAAGTTTCAAAATACAAATAACAAGAGAATTTCAACTTAAGTTCCAATACATTTTATATCCATGTATTCGTATTCTTATCTACTATAACTTTCGTTTAGATTACTCCCAATAAAAAACAATATATATTTTTATTTACGATATTTATATCCATACGTCTTTTATGAATGCATGTGAATGTTTTTTTTATAAAATCATAAGTAAAAATATATTACATTTTAACAGGAGTAATGTTAACGAAAGTTATAGTAGACTCAAAAAACGAACATGTGGATATAAAAATCGTTAAAATCTAATATCGTATGAAGAAGTTATGATGTTCAAATATCTAAGCCAAACAACAAGACCTACGCAACCAAATAGTCGAGATTGCGATGAACATAAGCATAAACAACCCCAAACACCTTATCAATGATTGATTCACATAAGATATCGTGAGAAAAAACTTAAATAAATGTACTCAATAAGTACAAAAACAAAAATGACTTATTTTGAAACGAAAAATATTAAGGACTAAATATGTACAAATAATAAATATATTACTCTATTAAGTCATTTTTCCCGGTTATCCTAAAGTAACTGGTCAATTTAACAAGTTGAAATGGTAAATGTGAAGGAAAAAAAGAATTTCAATAACCAAATGTGTACAAATCAAAAAATATATTACCCTTTTAAGTCATTATCCCTTTTGGAAAAAAACTTACTTTTTACTTGTTAATTCGGACCTAGCATGTTATCAACAAATAAATTGAGTATTTTTGTTTCACAAAATATCATACATTTTTCTTTTTTCCAGTTTAGACCTAAAATGTTTTTTTTTTCAAAATAAACTCAAATTTGAAATTAGTTATATGTCACACCTGTTGTTATTCTTTGTTTCGTTTCCATACGACTCGCAGGGCTCATTCAACTTTCCGGTGGAGTTTAAGTCAGAAAGCAACGATGGCAGCCATGGATGTGTACTTGTGTAGTTAGGAGTGTTATTCAGTAGGTTTTATCAGTTTTCGATTAAATCAGTTTTTTAATATCTTTAACTAACCATAACCAAACCAAATAATGTTCAAGTTCATCTATTTTGATTTATTCGGTTCCGGTTTATACGATTCAGTTTACCGGTTAAACTGAATAAAAATCCACATGAAAAATTAAATATTAAACTAAATTTTTTAAACTTGACATAAATAATATCAACCCATGTAAAAGTGAATGCCAGTGCAATAAATAATATCAACCCATGTAAAAGTGAATGCAAGTGCAAGTCTAATATGAAAGTAGAGTTCAATCGAATATCTATAATATCGACCCGTGTAAAAGTGAATGCCTCTGATATTAAACTAAAATTTTAAACTTGACAAATAATATCGACCCGTGTAAAAGTAAATGCAAGTGCAAGTCTAATATGAAAGTGGAGTTCAATCGAATTTATTATTTCTCTTTTCTATAACGTATTATGGGACTTTGATATGTATTTCTCTTTTCCATTATATCATGGATTGTTTCTTTATTTTAACTAATTTTCATTAGGTTACTTTTGTACCCTTATCCAAGCTAGCAATTTAAGCTACATATAAAAGATACACTGTGATCATTCTTATGTTTAATTTAAGAGAAATTAAATTGATTCAAACTTTATCATCATTCTATATTTTTTTTTAACTAACTCATTAAGACTATATTAGGAATATATCAAATAAAATAAAATTGAATGGTGATTTATCATAATTTTAGCAGGAAGTAATAATTGTAGACATAAAACGTAAGAGGTAATTTAATTTCTCTTAATTTAAATCAAACGGAAATAAAATATACAAATATATATTACATAAATAATTTTTTCGGTTTTAAGACTTTTACATTGGTATTATTAGTCTTTTACAAAAGAACAAAACAAAAAGGTTAAATCATTCCCTTTTCTAATAAAGACTACACCACTAACAAAAGAAACATAGCATATGGGTTGAGATGTGCTTTTTCCAGGTTGACTAATACATATAATGGAATTTTACTATATCTAGTCATAACCTTTTAAACAAAAAATTATGTATATTACTGTAAAAAAATCTTTTCATAAACCCCACCACATATCAATTTCAAAACAATTTACAGACGCATACACTTAACATTATTGGAAACACATGATAGTGGACAAACTATATAATATGCCTTATAATAGTATGCCCATTCATAACAAACAATTATCATTACCCCACCCTAGTACGTCCGATGATACTCAAGATCTAGAGATCCCCAAGTCATGGACATGGTGGGTTCCATATATGTATTTTTAGAATCATCAAATATTATTTAACAATACCATACCATAGGTATAACTGAGCTGGAGTAACAAGACAATATTAGTACAAGTAAGAAATAATAATGGCAACAATCCAAATAACTTTCATCATATTTGACATGACTTTAATTTGAAACAATTGTGTTTGGAATATCGACTATATATACAGTTTTGACAACCCACAATAAGAGAAGCATATAAAGTAAAGTAGAAGTAGGACAGGACATTGTATGACAAGATTGCACAATATGTCCAAAACCATTACCCAACACTATTTTGTCGCCACATCATAACTGCCCTCTTGTCGGTCAGCATTACAATTATCGCGAAACTGTTATTTTCGTAGTAACATCTCAAACACTAACTTACAACGTTGTAATAATACTTGGTGTGTGTGTGTGTGTGTTGCCCTTATATTAAAATAGGTTGTTTCTCATGCATTTTATTTTACTCCATGACCTAAGGCCTACTACTCTACGCAATTCTTATCTCCCCAAAAGAAGCCTAAATTTGAATATGAATCCCATAGATGAAGAAAAGAACTGGCTGACTCTTTACGTGGGACAAAAACTTCAAGATTCTTGTTCGAGATCAAAACCCAATTTCAGTGAGGAGATGCCACTTCTGCAAGAGGAAGTTCTACAGCCCACAAGCACTTGGGGGTCATCAAAATGCTCACAAAAGGGAGAGAGATGCAGCAAGAAGATACCACTCACTTAACATGGAGACTACTAAGTTCCCAATTCATCGAACACTTGGTGTGCATTCCCACTCGCTTCCAAATACACCAACCACAAATGAAAGGGGGCAAATAATGGTAACAGTGGGTGAGTATGGAGCTACATGGGTGAATGGTGAAGAGGGTTTAATGTGGCCTGGGAGTTTTTACTTGGATTCACAAATGGCGGCTTCTCAATCTCAGCCTTCGGATCAACTCTCACTTGATTTAACCCTCAAGTGTGATTTTGGTAATCTACTTTGTGTATGTATAAACTTTATTGATTAGGTTTATTTAAATTGTGTATGTGCTTCTTGTGATGATTTTGTTGTGAGTGTGTGTATGGGTTCTTTAAGTTTATATATATAGGTAATGCACAACTTAAATGAAAAAAAGGAAGTGGATATATCATATATCATATACCATATACATAATACATCAACAGATTTATGATAATCACTTACTTGTCCAGAAAGCATAGATATTTATATATTATGATTATCACACACAGCAATTGATTTTATAAAAGTTGAGATTACTGAAAATAAATAAAGTAAAGCTTACAGTTAACAGGGCATCAGGCGGGGATTTTAAGGTTTTGGGTGTTGTGGAAGACAATGGGAAGCCTTTGACTGATGATGTTTGGATTGTTGTATGAGGCAGAATCAGAAGGATATTCTTTCTGTGCACTTTATTGGTTATCTTAAAACTAAATTCAATAAAAAAAATCATAAACTTGAACTTTGCCATGCTTTTGCTAAAGGGAATCTTATTTTAGGTGGTGGAGTGGGAGTGAAGGAGGTTTTATCATTTATGTCTCTGACTCTCTGTTTTATGAATTTTGTCTTCCAGCTTAAGAGAGTTATTGCATCTACTAATGGTTTTGATTATAAAACTTTGTTTTGATTATGAATCTAAATTTATTGTATTAAGTTTAGATTTGATTTTGGGATTTTGGTTGAAATTGTTTGATTTAGGGTTCTTCAGAAGGGAAATGAAAAAGACAAGGGAAAAATAGTCAACTTGACAATTTTAACAGCTAGGCTATGAAATTTGACGATCCAAGGACAGGCACCAAAATTTTTAATTTACTTAAACATTTACAAGGTGATTATTATATTGCTGACTTTGCATTTATTTAGAAATCAGCAAATATGTGATGCTTTCTTTGCATTTGAAATTATTAAGATTCTCTTAAAAAGAAAACATTGAGCATTAAGTTTGAGAG